TTCGCTGTCCCAGGTCTTCCCAGGAAGTTGCAAGCCTTCAGCAAACTCTAGAGTTCAAAAATCGTTTGTATCAGGTGGACTCTGCAAGTGCATTTGTTATCTGGGTGGGGGGACACAAATTCCTTGTTCTTCCTCCTCCATCATCTCCCAAGAATTCTATCAGTCTGGTCTGTTTTTGATAAAAATTTCTCCAGCCTCAGGCCTCCTCTTCCTACTACCCATACTCACTCTTTAAAGATTTTTTTTAATTAATTAATTAATTAATTTTAGAGGGAGAGAGTGTATGCACATGTGCAAGCAGGGGGAGGGGCAGAGGGAGAAAGAACCCAAAGGACTCCAAGCTGAGTACAGAGCCCAGTGTGGGTCTCAATCCCACAGCTGCAAGATCATGACCTGATCCGAAACCACGAGTCAGACACTTAACTGACTGAGAGCCACCCAGGCACCCCTGGGAGTGTGATTTTTATATTTTGATGTTTTTGTGTGTTACCATAAGAATGAAGGTTTTTGGTGTTTTCTGACATTATGAACTGGAAGTATTCTAGTCCTAATACCCATTCTTAATCATCTTTGATCTTTTTTTTGTTTTTAATTTCTTAAAATTTTTAAAAAGATTTTATTTATTGGGGCGCCTGGGGTGGCTCAGTTGGTTAAGTGACTGCCTTCGGCTCAGGTCATGATCCTGGAGTCCCAGGATCGAGCCCCACATCAGGCTCCCTGCTCAGCAGGGAGTCTGCTTCTCCCTCTGACCCTCCCTCATGTGCTTTCTCTCTCTCTCATTCTCTCTCTCTCTCTCAAATAAATAAAAATCATAAAAAAAAAAAAGATTTTATTTATTTATTTGAGAGAGAGAGAGAGATAGCAATAGATAACAGGAGTGGGGGAAGAGTAGAGGGAGAGGGAGAAGCAGGCTCCTTGCTGAGCACAGGGCCTGACACAGGGCTCAATCCCAGGACTCCAGGATCATGACCTGAGCCAGAGGCAGATGCTTAACCGACTGAGCCGCCCAGGAGCCCCGATCTGTTTTTTAGATGGTTGCCAGAGTAGTTTTTCAAATGTGTGACTGATCATATAGTGGTCTCTAGTTGTTTTCTCACCCCTTCTCCAGCTGTAATGTAGGCCTTTGCTTGTGTTCTACTTGGAATCCTATTACCCTTCTTTCCTGCACGATTTGTCTGCTGATCTTTCATTACACCTTTTCCTGAGGCATAACATTCATTTCTCCCGCCAGATGACAAATGTCTTATACTTTTCTGTTCTTACAGTGTTTTGCTTATACCTTTATCATGTTACTTATAATTTATCACTAGCATTTACTTTATGTGTCTGTCTCCCCAGTTTTAATTTGGGTTCCATGAATATTTGGATTGTATCAAAGTAATTTTTTAATTTTCTGAGACTAGCACAACTGCTTGTATTTAGTGGCTTTGAGTGTTCTATGAATGAATGGAGACATAACTAAAAGAACATTTCAGACTTTCAGCAGATACTGATTTTTCTACTTGATCCTTGTCATTATACTCAGCGCTAGCAATACCAAGTCAAACAAACGTAGTCCTGTTTTCAGGGTACTCATTAATTTATTTAGTGTATTTACTCTTTTACTGGAGTGGTTTAATAATATACATTTAACGTTTATGTTTCAATATTGTGATTTGTCAGGGTACCTGGGTGGCTCTATCGGTTAAGCATCTGCCTTTGGTTCAGATCATGATCCTGGGATGCTGGGATCAAACCCCTCATTGGGCTCCCTGCTCAGCAGGAAGCCTGCTTCTCCCTCTCCCTTTGCCCCTCCCCCCCGCTTATGCTCTCTCTCTGACAAATAAATAAGTAAAATCTTTATAAAAAAATGTTGTGATTTGTCTTATGTCCTGACCCCTGTCTAGACCATAACCATCATTTATGAAATGAGAGTGGATTAGATGACCTAGAAAAGTTACCACTGTTAACTATTATTAGATTTTTAAGCTCCTTGGGGTGCCTGGGTGGCTCAGTCATTAGGCGTCTGCCTTCGGCTCAGGTCATGATCCCAGGGTCCTGGGATCGAGCCCCACAACGGGCTCCCTGCTCCGCGGGAAGCCTGCTTCTCCCTCTCCCACTCCCCCTGCTTGTGTTCCCTCTCTCGCTGTGTCTCTCTCTGTCAAATAAATAAATAAAATCTTTAAAGATAAAAGATTTTTAAGTTCTTTGTTAAAAGGAATCATGTCTTTCACTTCTGCTGGCAGCTTATATAGGGCCAAGTATATAGTATCTCACACTGACTGGTTGGTTAGCAAATTTTAAAGAAAGAGGTGATATCAGTGAATACTTCAGATGAATTTGTTTCTATTTTTCACTCCATTGATCTCATTATGTCCCTTCTCTGTGCTTCAGAATATCTGTATTTCCTTGATCTAGCTCGTTCTCAACAGCTTTTAAAGATAAATGTAGTTGGCTATTGAATAACACAAGGGTTAGGGGCACCCCCACATGCAGTCAAAAATCAGTGTACAACTTTTGACTTCTCAAAAACTGAACTACTAGACGAACCATGAAAGACTATGGACTCTGAGAAACAAACTGAGGGTTCTAGAGGGGAGGAGGGTGGGGGGATGGGTTAGTCTGGTGATGGGTATTAAAGAGGGCACGTACTGAATGGAGCACTGGGTGTCATACGCAAACAATGAATCATGGAACACTACATCAAAAACGATGTATGGTGATTAACATAATAATAATTTAAAAAACTTTACTAATAGCCTGCATTGACCAGAAGCCTTACCAATAACATAAACAGTAGACTTAACACATCTTTTGTATGTTAAATGTATCACATACTGTATTCTTACAACAAAGTAAGCTAGGGAGAAGAAAATGTTAAAATCATAAGGCAGAGAAAATGCACTTAAAGTATTGTACTGTATTGAAAAAATTAATGTATTTAAGTGCACCCACACAGTTCAAACTCATGTTGTTCAAGAGTCAACTGTATATGTTTTTTACTTTATCCCTCTTAACAACCCTGACAAGAAGGTCAGGTGGTCATTGATCTCCACTTTTCAACTGAGGAAGCAGTGTTCAAGATCATAGCCAAGGAACAGCAGAGTCAGACTCAGTCCCAGATCTCCTGATCCCAATCCAGTGTCCTTCCTCTCTGTTTCCTTATCTGTGAATTGAGAGTTTCTTCCTGATCTCAGTACCTATGGTATCCACCTTTTAACAGGTTATTTGTCTTTGAGAAGTCACAGAAATGTGTTAACTTTAGCAAAATGGGAATTAGTTGATAAAAGTATGGAGAGTCTCAGGATCGGTGAGAAGGTTTAGCATCAAGCTGGGAAATGGACAGGAGTCAGGGTAGCTCCTAAAGTTCCAGAGGCAGGGACCTAAAGAGACACTACCAAAATCCAAGTGATTTTCATTCTCTGCTCACGAGTCAGAGCAAGGAGGAACATTATGTTGGCATGACTTGAGTCATCTTTATGTCCTTTGGTTAGTACAGTGGTTCTCAGCTGGGGGCAGTTATATCCTCCCAGTGGGCAATGTCTAGAGGCATTTTTAGCTATAACTAGGAGCAATTGCTGCTGGCATCTAGTGGGTAGAGGCCAGGAATGCTAAATATCCTATAGTGTCAGCCCCTGCAAAACAGAATTATCTAGCTGCATAGATCAAAAGTGCTGAAAAACTTTGGATGAGGGGAAGGCACCTGGATTAATAGTCCTACCAGACTTCATCCTGTTGGAGGTAGAAGAAAACTAAACGTTCTTACCAAAAAGGGTAGAATAGATGCTGGAGAGCCAAAGACAACACAAAAAAATGTAGTACAAACTGGAGTAATAATGTCAGTTTTGGACTGTGAAGATCAGTACACATTTGTAAATGGAATACTTGAGGTGTTTTAGAAAAAAAGGGACATTTATAAAATATTTTAAGTTCTGAACTTGAACTCCAGAAATATTCTAAATGAATATGTTTAAAAAGTATTCTTTGAATTGAAACTTAATAATGTATAAAGAATGAATAGTGTAAAAAAAATAAAAAGAATGTATAGTGTGTGTGTATTTAATTCAGTAATAATTTAGGTTTTTGAGGGGAATTGTGAATAACCTATGCCACGCCATTAGAATCAAACTGCCACTTACTGTGAACCAAACTAAAGCACTTTTCAGGGAACTTCTAGTTTAAAAAAGAACAGCTTATTCTCTTGAACCACCAAAATCAAACCCAGCTAGAACATAATTATATTCTCTAAATGGGAAAACATTATTCTTCAAACTGATTCAATCAGTTTTTTGCTAATTTTTTGCAAATTATTAGTTAAAACAAAAATGTTTCACATTATACTTTTTGCTAATCAATTACTTAGTTAAAGCAAAAATATTTCACATTATACCTGATTGTAGGATAATGTAGTAAAGGGTCCTTGGTAAAGGACCCTTTCACTAATTAGCAACTTTGGATGTTGCTTATACATAAAAAAATGACTTTTTGCTAATTAATTAGTTAAAGCAAAATGTTTCACATTATACCTGATTGTAGGATTATATTTAGTAAAGGGTCCTTTCACTAATTAGCAACTTTGGATGTTGCTTATACATAAAAATATGAAGATGGTAGATCTGTAGAATGTGCAGTCATAGAATTTTTCTAACAGTGTACCTTGTTCTTTGCCTAGACAGTAATTCATGTTAAATCCAAATCATAGGAAGATTGATTCACCCCCTAATTTTCCTACCATTTTTCTTAACTTTGAGTATGTGCCATAGTATGTGACTCATCACTGGCTTATTTTTGCTTTCATATTTTACAACACCTTTGCTGTACCAGGTCTGTTTTACTACCCTGAGGAAGTCTAGAAATGACTAGAAGCTCTCCCCCCTTCCCTTCTGACATGGTGGGTTTGGTCCCCCCTGTCAGAAGGATCTGCTGCCACATCTCCAGGCTGTGTGCTGAGTGAGCCTCTCCCTGCTTGCGGTCATTAACCCCAGACGCCACAGTTCACCTCAGCGGGGTGTCCGTTGCAGGTGAACCACTGTCTCCCAGAGAAGATCGTGGTGTACCGTGATGGAGTGTCTGATGGCCAACTAAAGACGGTTGCCAACTATGAGATTCCTCAGCTACAGAAGTGTTTTGAAGCTTTTGAGAATTATCAGCCCAAGATGGTAGTATTTGTAGTTCAGAAGAAAATCAGCACCAATCTGTACCTGGCTGCTACTGAACACTTTGTGACTCCCTCCCCTGGGACTGTGGTAGATCATACCATAACAAGCTGTGAGTGGTAAGTGGGGAAAACATTATATTTCAACAAGAATAGGTTGGAGGAGTTATCTGTTCCCTGGGTATTGGAATGGGGAGGTTGCCTAGAGAGATGTGGAATGGAATCCTCAGAGATTTTGCTGTTATAAAATATTTTCAAAAGGATTAAAAAGAAAACAATAAAGTTTTTACCTCTTAAGTATAAAATATTGAATGCACATTCTTTTCCTAAGGTTGTGCATACTTTTTAAACCTTCTGCATACAGTTTTGGTAGTTCATACTACCACTCTTAAATAGCCTGTTGAGTCTGGAAACCTGAGCTGTAACCATGGTGGTCTGTGTCCTTGATCCAGTCATTTGACCTCTCTGAGCCTTAGGTGGAGGAGCCAAAATCATCACCATGATCTTTTCCAGCTCTTTTTAGCCAGATCTGGCCATATCATTCTTTTGTACTTTTTCATTCCTAGGGTGGACTTTTACCTTCTTGCTCATCATGTACGGCAGGGTTGTGGCATTCCTACCCATTACGTCTGTGTTCTCAACACTGCAAACCTGAGCCCTGATCACATGCAGAGGTGAGCTGACTGATAGATAATTTACTCTTTCTGTCTTGTAATTCTGGCCCCTAGCTAAGATGGGGTCAGTCCCCCCCCCACCAGAATATTCACCCTTTGAGTTTCTTCTTGTCTTTCATGATAATGGTATCTTTTTGGAGAGTGATTGGTATTTCTTGTGCACATTAAAATTATTTGGAGAGCTTTTATTTTTTTTTTAAGATTTTATTTATTTATTTGACAGACACAGCGAGAGAGGGAACACAAGCGGGGGTGGGGGTGGGAGAGGGAGAAGCAGGCTTCCCGCTGAGACGTGGGGCTCCATCGCAGGACTCTGGGATCATGACCTGAGCTGAAAGCAGACGTTTAACAATTGAGCCACCCAGGCGCCCCTATTTGAAGAGCTTTAAAAAAAATAGTGATGCCCAGGCTTTACCCCCAAGCAATGTAAGGCATTCTTATTTTAAAAACTACCCTGGGTGATTATGATACACAGTGCGTTTTGAGACCCAATGTCCTTGGGCTCAGATTATATCAGTACTTTGCTGGAGTACTTAACCTTCTGCAGCCTCTTCTTGAGAAAAAAAAACAAAGTCTTGTTTACCTTGTTTCTTTTTTTTTTTTTTTAAGATTTATTTATTTATTTGTCAGAGAGGGTTGGGGGGAGAGAGCACGAACAGGGGGAGCAACAGGCAGAAGGAGAAGCTGTCTCCCTGCTGAGCAAGGAGCCTGATGCAAGACTTAGTCCCAGGACCCTGGGATCATGACCTGAGCTGAAGGCAGACGCTTAACTGACGGAGCCACCCAGGTGCCCCACCTTGTTTTGATCTAAAAACGGGGGCACCTAAAGTGAGGGGATTTACCCATGTTACCCATGTCCTCTTGACTTACAAATAGTGGAAAGGAAATCCACTTAAAAATAATGATTCCCAAAAGTTGCATCATGTATTTCTCAGTCACCCAGTTTTTTGAAAAGTATGCTGTGTGTCATACACCCATTTGTACATAATCATGTCCCAGATTGAAGGTGGAGAGTCATACAGATTGTATGTTCTTCTTGGCCTACAGGTTGACTTTCAAACTGTGCCACATGTACTGGAATTGGCCTGGCACCATCAGAGTTCCAGCTCCTTGCAAGTATGCCCACAAGCTCGCTTTCCTGTCAGGACAAATCTTGCATCATGAACCAGCCATCCAGCTGTGCGAGAACCTGTTCTTCCTGTGACTGGACCACCAGGATGTGGGCTGGTTAGGGAGGTTAGCGTTCTGAACTCAGCTGCGACTCCTGCGGGAGCAACAGGGATGGGAGGGGTTTTTGTGTTGGTGGGTTTTTTCACCGACCCAGTAGAATAAGATATCTTTTCTTCTTTTTTTTCTCTTTTATACCTGATAGCACCAAGAAATAAGTTCCATTCTAAATATCAGCTGGAAATTGCCTTCTGGTCTTTGTAGACCAAGTGGAGGCAGTACTACTCCTGCATAGATGGAGAGGTGAATACGGGGGAACCTGGAAGAGCCTCCACAGCCCAATGTGCTGTGGAGACCTGCAGAAGCAGCAATTACACCTTAGAAGTTCTGCTTACTAAGCAGTCCCATTTCTGGCGCCAGAGGTGATAATGAATGAATCATTCCACATTTCTTAAAGTAGAGAGTTACTTTATTTGGGCAACAGAGAAAGGTAATAAAAAGGCCTGTGAGGCAAAGTTTTTCAAGATACTGCTATTGCTGGCAAGTGTGAAAGGCATGTAGTAAAACCAGCTGGTGGCGTAGTCAGGCCCTTTTGACCTAATCTTGTCTGCCAATTGAGTTTGTGACACCTGTGACATGAGTTGGCTTTGAAGCTTTCGAAAGGGGCCTTTAGCGATTCCTTGGTCTCCTGAGAGAGGCTGGATAAAGTTTTTTTCTGTATGTTTTAGTTGCTTTACAGTGTCCCATATTGATTTTTCTACACCCCTCACCCCCGACACACATTTGCTCTGTTACTGATCTTTAATAAGTTTCAGTTTTTAAATTAAGAATCAGAACATGGTGAAATTCAACAGCTAAGAAGGTTCATGACAGAGTGTGAGTCTTTCTTAAACCTTTCTCTCGGATGTGTGGCCTTCTTTTTGTTGATGTGTTTGTAAATGGAATCACTCATTTCCCTTGCTCAATAACCTATTCCTGGCTCTTGGCTCATTTTGTTAGGAATTTTTCTGAGTCCAGCTTAAGATTTCCAGAAGTCAACTTTGGAAAACATGACACTCCTGCCAAAGTCCAGACATTTCAGCTTAGAAAGTTGTCACTCTGCCTGTGGGGTTTTCTGTGTTTATTTTTCCCTGTTTTAAAATCTTCTAACCCTTTTGGGGTTAATTCAGCTTTAACTTGCTTTAACTGGTTTTAAAAGCCAGTTTTATTTACCCTTTTCGAATTTGTGTTTATTTTTTGGTGTGATGGCATGGAGGGGACAAAGCAGAAATTCCCATTTTATATGACAGTGTGTGAGAAGAGAAACTTCAGCCTAAAAAACTCCTTAGAGGAAGAAAACCAAGCAAGTTTTCAGTTTGTTGTGGTGCCCAGCCTCTGCTTCAAAGTTCTGTTGAAGAACTTTTGAGTGTTGATAGTCCTTACGTGCACTTGTGGTTTCATTTGGAGTGCAGGACATAGGGTAAGGCTAAGACCTGGAATTTAAAACAAATTGGATCACTGGTCTCTGGCTTAACTGATCAGCTTTCTGATTCTCTTTGGAAGCATTTTGAATTTTGAATTTCTTTTTTGAAGTTGGATTTCCTAATACTCATTTTCACTTATATAATCAGAAAAGACAAATGCTTGAATATAATACAAAAATTTCTTCACTTTTTATTCCTGTTTTCTTGCATTGTTTTTCAGTCTTAATGTGAAATGATTGGGCTGTGGGGTAGGAAATAAATAAAAACAAATTTGTATAAATATGAATTTGTGTTTGAAATAGTGCTGTTGATATATTGATATAGTTCTTTTCCTTCCTAGAGCTGCAACACTTGTTAGAATTATTAGTTTATTATTCAATATGAAGATGCATCTCCAGTGTTAGTAGCAAGGTAATTTCACTGTGACCTGCTAGTAAGATTTCTTGGTAAAGTCACTAACAGTCTTCTAGGGGCAACTGAGGGATGTGTCTCCATGCGTGTGTGTGTGTGTGTGTGTGTGTGTTGTTTTTCAAATCTCTTTTCCCATTTCCCATCAGTTTCTATTACCTTTGTGAGAGCCAGCTCCAAGTGTGGCTTCTCCCTTCCCCTTTTTCTAATAATGCTTGCCCTTCTTTCTGTAACCCTTAAAAATACCTTCCCAAAGCACGCTGGCTGCTTGCTTCACCACTACATCTCTTTGTATTTATTTAGAAACTCCATTTTGAAATGGTGCAGTGCTTCTTGAACTCATTCTTTTTTTTAGATTTTATTTATTTATTAGAGAGAGAGCACAAGCGGGTGGGGGGAGGCAGAGGGAAAAGCAGACTCCCCGCTGAGCAGGGAGCCAATGTGGGGCTTGATTCCAGGATTCCAGGATCATGACCTGAGCTGAAAGCAGACACTCAACCAACTGAGCCACCCAGGCGCCTCTGAACTCATTCTAGATAGAACCTAATTTTTCTTAAGTAGGCTCAAATAAATAAATAAAAGTGGGCTCTATGCCCAACGTGGGGCTTGAATTCATGACCCCAAGATCAAGATTCTCATGCTCTGCTGACTGAACCATCTAGGCACCCCTAGACAGAACCTAATTTCTGTACAATGTTACAAGGCAACCTTTTGTTGAATGGTGTGAAAAAGGAAGCAGTTTTTTATTTATTTTTTATTTTTTAAGATTTTATTTATTTGACAGAGAGAGACATAGTGAGAGAGGGAACACAAGCAGGGGGAGTAGGAGAGGGAGAAGCAAGCTTCCTGCGGAGCAGGGAGCCTGATGCAGGGCTCGATCCCAGGACCCTGGGATTATGACCTGACCTGAGCTGAAGGCAGACACTTAACGACTGAGCCACCCAGGCGCCCCAGGAAGCAGTTTTTTAAATAGACTACCTTTCTATACTAAAAACAAAACTTGTGCCTGAAATTTCTCAGTGATTTAAGATTACTGGAGAAGACCCTACTTTCACTTTGTGGCTCCATACCTAGCTTTACCTGAGTTTCTTAGTAAGTTTTCCTGTCTGAATTTATTTTCTTTCTTTAAAAACAAATGAGGAAAATCAAGAGAATGAGAAAACAAGCCATAGACTTGGGGAAAATATTTGCCAAAAACATATTTGATAAAAGACTTACCTGACATAAAGAACTTTTAATAATAAGAAAACAAACCACCTGATTGAAAATCAGGCAAAAGACCTGAACAGACGTCTCACCAAAGATACACAGTTGGCAAATAAGCATATTGAAAAGGTGTTCAACATCACGTCATTACAGAATTACAAATTAAAACAAGATACCATTAAAAAATAATAATAATAAAATAAAACAAGATACCACTACACACCTATTAGAATGGCCAAAATCCAGAACGCCGACAAGATCAAATGCTGACAAGCATGTGGAGCAATAGAAACTTCTATTGCTCGCTGGTAAGAATGCAAAAATGGTACAGCCACTTTGGAAGACAGTTTGGCAGTTTTTTACAAACACTCCAAAAGAGGTAAGGTGACTGAATGAATAAAAAAGCAAGACCCATCTATATGCTGCCTACAAGAGACTAACTTCAGATCTAAAGATACCTACAGACTGAAAATGAAAAGATAGAGAAGCATTTACCATGCAAATGGAAGTGAAAAGAAAGCTGGGGTAGCAATACTTGTATCAGACAAAATAGACTTTAAAAGAAAGAGCAAAAGATAAAGGAGGGGGCGCCTGGCTAGCTCAGTTGGTAGAACATGGGACTCTTGATCTCAGGGTCATGAGTTCAAGCCCAATGTTGGGGGTAGAGATTACTTAAAATAATAAAATGGTTAAAGTGACAAAGGTTATTATGTACTTTACTCCAATTAAAAAAAATTTTTAGGGACACTTGGGTGGCTCAGTTGGCTGAGCATCCAACTGTTGGCTTCAGCTTGGGTCTTGGTCTCGGGGCTGTGAGTTGAAGCCCCATATTGGCTCCGTGTGGAGCCTACTAAAAAACAATTTAAACAAAAAAGGACACTATATGATCATAAAGGGAACAATCTATCATGAAAATACAACAATTGTAAATATTTATGCACCCAACATGGAAGCACCCAAATACATAAAGCAGCTAATTATAAACATAAAGGAAGTAATCAATATAATGGTAGCAGGGGACTTTAACACCCCACTTACATCGATGGATAGATCATCCAAACAGAAAATCAACAAGGAAACAGTGGCTTGAATGACACATGGGACCAGATGGACCTAACAGCTATATTCAAAACATTCCAGTGGGATAACACATTCTTTTCAAGGGCACATGGAACATTCTCCGGAATAGATCACATGTTAGTCCACAAAACAAGTCTCAACAAATTCAAAAAGATTATAAAATCCTACCATGCATTTCTTCTGACCATGTTATGAACTAGAAAAGAAAAAATCTGTAGACAGAAATACAGGGGCACCTGGGTGGCTCAGATGGTTAAGCATCTGCCTTCGGCTCAGGTCATGATCCCAGGATCCTGGGATCGAGCCCCATGTCCGGCTCCTGGCTCAGCGGGGAACCTGCTTCTCCCTCTGCCTCTCCCCCTGCTCGTGCTCTCTCTCTCTCTCTCTCTGTATCTCTGTGTCTCGAATGAATAAATAAAATCTTTAAAGGAAAAAAAAAAAGAAATACATGGCGCCAGAGTGGCTCAATTGGTTAAGCGTTCTACTCTTGGTTTCTGCTCAGGTCATGATCTCAGGGTCATGAGATCAAGCCCCACAGTGGGCTCCTGGTCAGCGGGGAGTCTGCTGGCGGAGGGGGATTGTCTGCCTCTCCCTCTGCCCCTTCCCCGCACTGGCGCACACACACTCTCTCAAATAAATAAAATCTTTTTTTTAAAAGATTTTATTTATTTATTTGACAGAGGGAGACAGAGGGAACACAGGAGGGAGAGGGGGAGAGGGAGAAGCAGGCTTCCTGCTGAGCAGGGAGCCCGATGTGGGGCTCAGTCCCAGCACCCTAGGACCATGACCTGAACTGAAGGCAGATGCTTAACGACTGAGCCACACAGGAGCCCCAAATAATTTTTTTTAAGATTTTATTTATTTGAGAGAGAGAGTGAGTGAGCGAGCAGGAGCGGGGGAGGAGTAAAGGGAGAGGGAGAAGCGGACTCCGCACTGAGCTGGGAGTCCAAAGCGGGGCTTGATCCCAGGACTCCAGGATCATGACCTGAACTAAAGGCAGACACTTAATTGACTGAGCCACCCAGGTGCCCCTAAATAAATAAAATCTTTTTAAAAACTCCACAAATACTTGGAGTTTAAATAACATACTACTAAACAATGAATGGGTCAACCAAGAAATCAAAGAGGAAATTAAAAAATGCTTGGAGAGACAAATGAAAATGATAACACAGTAGTCTAAAATCTTTAGGATGCAGTGAAAG